TCTCTTTTCGCTCGATCTTGTTGTTCTTTCTTTAAATCTTGATTTATGGGAGATTGTTCAACAGCAATTTGACTTTCTGCATGATTTTGTCTATTTTGATTCGATTGTTTCAATATATTAGCTGGATTTCTTCCATTACATTGTGACTACTTTATCTAATTATTTTGTTAATTTAGTTGATATATATTCTCTAATGATTCTATTCAATTGTTCTGCTCTTGTTTCGACAAGATTCTGATTAATGTTTTTTTCTATAAATATTCTGATTTTCTTTGGTAGTACCTCCAATAATATCTTTTAGAGTATTATAAAGACATGTTCGAACTGTAAGACAGATTGAACTACAGTCAACAACTTATTAATGATATCTATTTCTTTAAGAGTAGTAGCAGCTATTTTAACGTATTTTGAATTTGATTTCTTTAGACCATCAGAAAATAGATGATAACTATTTCTTAAAGAAGATACAACTCGTGTTCGAATATTATCAAATTGTTGAGATAATAAAATATCTTTTCCTAAAGTTATTTCTAATATGTTTTTTTCAATTCTTCAAAAGATTTTTCGAACTCTTCTTCATTTTTACTTTGAAGATAAAGAGTTTCTATTTTATTATTTATTAAACCGATTATTTCTTTTAATAAATTTTCTTCTATTTTACTAACAATCTTTTGTACAACATTTTCTTGAATCTGTTCCATAATTTTATCCGTCAAAAACTTTCCAATTCCAACAGTCAACATAGAGAGACCGAAGCTAATTGCTTTTTGTATTGCCCATTCTTTCGTATTAAAAATACCTGATATTAAAGCATTGCCTATCTGAGTCAAACCAAAGGCTACTAAAACAGCTTCGGCAATGACTTGAACAAGTCTTATCATTGCAACGACAAAAGCATTCCAATCCCACCAAGATTTATCTTCTTCAATAATCAAAAATTTACTAAGATTAAAACCTTCAAAAAAATCTTAATTCACTTGGAACATTTTCTTGATCTTGAAGATCTACAAAATCTTTTAAATTAGCTTTTAAACCTTTTTTAAATGAACGAATATCTCCTTGTAAAGACAAAATTTTCGACAAAATTAATTCTTTATCATTTTCAAATTGAATATTTTTTAAAATTTTATTTAAAGTTCTTTCAATATTTCTTTTAATATCTCCATATTTATATTTAGCAAGTCCACCAGACTTTAAAATATTTTTTTCTTTTAGATAAATTCGAATATTATTTCCTTCTTCTTCTTTAATAGTAAATGGTAAATCTGTGTTGATAAAAATATTGACTTTGCTGACTAATATTATCTTTTAATTCTATTAAAAATGTTTTAAGATCTTTTGTTTCATGACTATTATCATTAAATTTAATTTTCTCATATTTTTCTTTCTATTGATTGTTCAAATAAAGAAATATTAACTTGTTCTGGATCTATTTTATCTTCTAAATCTTTCCAAACATTTTCATATATCCGTGGTAATTCTTTTTCTATTCTATTTAAATTTAAAATTTGCCATAATTCGTCACTATAACAAACAATATTTTCGAAATCTTTTTTTTTCAAAAGAAGATTTACTATTTAATAAACTAACTAATGGATCGGCAATCGAAGGATCAAGATCATTTCGAATTATCTTTTCTATTTTATTTCGTTCTTGTGAATTATTTCGAAATATTTTTCTTATTGTATCTCCTTGAATAATTTCAAATTGAACTAAAAGTGAATATAATTCTTTTCCTTTATCTTGATCTTCACGAGTTAAATTTTGTTCATTTTTTGGATGTAAAATAAAATAAAATGGTTCTACTGTATCTCCAACAGCTTCTAATTTTCCTGTTATTTGATCTTGATAAAAATTTTCTTTTGAAGAAATTTTTTTGAAGGGTGTGTGAATGTGGGTAGGGGTCTTCTCTTTATCTACACCCACACCCAAATTTGAACTTAGCTATACACCATTAGAGAGCCTAAAGAGAAATCTCTGATCAAAATGCACTTTTTTCTGGAAACGAACTTTCTTCAAAATAAAAGGCAAAGCAACCAGACTATTTAATTTAAATTGATTACAATAGCTGATTCTCCACATTAATCGTTTGAATAAGAAAACAATTATTAATGTCTTCATTCAATTTACTAATTTAATCAAATAAATAACAGACACAACAGATATACAAAGAGGTTAATACAAAAAAAAATCATATTGGATTTCTTCATGTGAAAATACTGGCAAAGAGTTCATCTGTCTTGATATAAAAATTTAAAAATTATTTTTCTCTTATGCAACCATGATCATATGATGCCTGATCTGTTGTACCTAATCATACTAATTGAATCTTGCGATCAGCAGTTCATACGAGTAAGATTTCTGGACTAATGACTATTTGAATTGAACTGAGGTCATATGAAAAAAGAAACATAAATTAAATTCGAATAAATATTAGAACATAAAGAAAATTGTTTATGAATCTTATCAAAAGACTCATTGTTTAATACGTTACGATCGGGAGAAGTTACTTGATATTTTAAACAAAAAACTTTACACAAATATTCTTGAAGCATCAACATCAATCTGAATTCTATCATATATAGCGAATATAAATATGTCAATAAGTCTTTTATTATAAGCCTTTTTATTGATAGAAACTTCTCATAAAAGTGACGAGGAGGATATCATTTCATAAGGAGACGTTTGCAATTTTCTTTAAATATCATTTAGATCAAATTTTTCTTCTACTTTTCAAAGATTCACTTATACTTCTTAACATATGGTTCTTACGAAAATTCTTTTACACGCATAGAACGTTAACACATCTTTATCAAAATTTTTTCATTGAAAGTCTAATGAGAAAAGAAATTTATGGTTGATTAATTAATTGATTTATTATTATTGAGATTTCTTTTACAAATCAAATATTTGATCTATACATAATTTGATTTCTAAAAAGACAGAGACACTTTTCAGTCAACGAAATTAACATACTTCGAGTATAACAAAATATTTTCTTATTATTGTCAACAGATAACAAACTAATTGAAATTATACGATTTAAATAAATAAATATAAAGCATAAATAAAGATACCTCATATTCAGATCAATTTTATTAACTAATAATCTTAGTAATTTCCTTTTATACATTATTTTATTATTTCTTTAGTTCAATTATGCATTGTAACAAGCTCTCTTCAAATGAAATGTTTTGCTTGTACATTTTCTCACCTATTATTTACTCCCATTTGTTCACTTTTTTTGGAAAGAAAAACAAAATAAATATCGCAATAAAACTGTCCCTTTTACAAACATTCGATAACTACATCAGTTCATTGCATAACGAAATCGGCAAAAAAATACCAATTGAACAATGTCTATATTGATGAGAGAATTGAATAGTTTTTTATGACTATATTAAGCAATGAAGACCCTTCAATTTGTTCTTTTGTCATATCAATTACGGAAATCAAGACAATTCTAATAAAAAATATTCTAGTCTAGCTATGTATATACCTATTTAATTAATACTTTTTCTAATTGTCTTTATAAAATTATGGAAAACGGATATATGTCCGAATATGCCTGTATTATTTTCAAAAACATCAAAACTTAACAAGAAAAATACACAAATAAGTTGTTGAGTATGTTTTCTTTTTTATGAAACTTCATAACATCCCCATCCAATCGAAACAAAGAATATACTGACAATAATTTGATGAAAGATTTAAATAAACTAAATACTATGAAAACAAAAGGAAGTTCTTATATCTGTTGAACAATTTTTGTAAGAGAGAAAAAATCATATGAAATACACGAATACACCTACAATGGTCTATTACTATCATGAAATCATTAGATTGACAAGTTTATTTTTTACTTAGATTTGTTTTTATCGTCAATGAAGTTGCAATCTTTAAAAACACAGAATATACTTCATTTAATTTTAAGTATATCATATAATTGCATAGACAGTGATTTTTTCAGTAATTAGAAACAATTATCTATTTCATTGATCAATATTAACAACTCGTAAATATTTAAACAAACTGAATAGATTTGATCAACAAAACCATTTACTTTTTGGAATTTCCAATGAACAAAACAATTCTGTTCTTTCTTATACTTCTCAATTTTCATGATTCAATTGATATGATCAAATAACCAATTTCACTTGCTCCGTGTGACAAGTGATGCATTATTCAAGTGGAAAGAAAAAGTTGTCGCAAATGAAGTAAGAGCACGGTATTCCTCTTGTTTTCACGCATTACATTAGATTACGTTGAGAAGAAAGTGAAATGTGTAAAAATAATAGTGCTTATAAAATCTAAACTCAATTAATTCTTTCTACTAACATTTTATCGTATGTAGTTTAGTATAAGAAACTATTGCCAAAAGCTAGAAATAGTATCGTTTCTGTATCACCATTTTCTATTCGTAATCGGTAACATGAATAATTTTTTTTCTATAGATAGATCTGGAAAAGAAAATAAAAACGATAATATATACTGTATAATCAGCTGTATATTTTGAGAGGAATTCATGACTTCTGGTGCATGTGTCTCAACATTCCTTTTTTTTTTATATATCCACAATCACGAAATGATTAAATCTAATATTGAAAATAATTTTGAGAGTTTTATATTCATCACTATTTCTCTGAATTTGTGAGTGCAATTGAATACATATATAAAAATCAGTAATACAGGTCATTGATTGTTTGTTGTGATATTTACAGAACGTGCTTATCGAAAAGATTTATTTTATACAGTTATCCTTCATAATAAGTGAATGATAGTTACTCCTTTATTACATTTATTGTCTATTCATAATTGATACATATAACTAAGAAAATTCAATTTTTGTAATCAAACGAGAAGTCTTCATTAAAATCAACTCGAGTTGATGAATTAACTTGTCTTGAGTCCTTATATAAAGATGAACCATATGAAAAACTATTTTTTTGATTCAGTGATCAATTTTTGACTCGAAAACTTATCATTATTAAGTTTCATAGCAATTTCACACAGTTCGTGAAACTAAGAAATGTTTAAATATTTTATAAAACAGAAAAGAAAGGCAATAACTAATAATTACTTTCTATAGGTATCATCTAATAAATTATAAAATTTTCTGATTACATTTTCTCTTTCTTTTGAAATTTAAAAAGAAAAACAAGATTAAGTTACTCATACAATTTTACGTTTCATTTTATCTATCAAAAGAAAGTATGTAAGGCAGAGTGGAAAAAAAACTACTAATTCTAAAAATTCATTTTTGAGACAAGTACATATTATATTACGAAATCATTATATTTTGAATTTATCGATAAATAAATATTGGTTCGACTGCCCTCACTTATAGAGAAACGTCAATTTTTTTTTTGTTTTTCGTTTTGCTAGGATTTCATCAATCAATCAGTTTCATTTTGTAGAAGATATTTTGAAAAATAAAATGCCATAACATGAGAAGATAGAAAGATAAATTAAAACAACAACTATCATCGAAATGATAAAAAAAAGGTATTTTTTGAAGAAAAAATAAGAAAAAAACATTTCTTTAAAATTTCTTTCGTTTGTCATCGATATTTCAAGAATATGTTATATTCTTGAGATTTCGAAAAGTTTTATGAGCAAAGACAAAAATAAAACTTTATCTTTCTCCTAAAAATGAAGCATTCATTCATCATAGGGAAATGAGTTAGAAAAATAATTTCTTTTTGTAAAAACAAATCAAAAACAAAAAAGACACCAGAGTGTGAATGACTATTGTATTGTATGTTATCATCATTCGAGTATACCAATTATGATGATTTTAATAAAAGAAAAGGAAAACAATATGCAGAGAACTTTGAACAATTTTCAATCAAACTTGAAAATTAAATAGAACCATCTCTTATAGAGATCGACAAATGTCATGATATTTCTATAAATATTATCTTAGATGATAATGTAATTATGTAATAACAAAGAAAAAAAACTGAAAATAATTAGCACTAGTTTCTTCTGACATATAAAATTTATCGACAATACTTTTCATTTTAAATAACTATTTATAGAATAATTCTACATGAATTTAATAAACCAAGATTTCCATATGTCAAATACTCATGATCTCGAATGATGGTATAGTTAGACGTAACAAAGTCAGAAAAACAAAAGAAATATCGTCGTGAAAAATGGTCTGAAAGACATGCTTTATTGTAAAATAAAAAAATCTATAGCATTCTTAATGCCATCATCATAAAGATTGTCAGTATAATGTTGAATTGAAATTGTTTTGACTTGTTTCAGAATATTCATTTTCTATGAGAAATATACTAGAAGTATATCACAAACAAAATAATCTACTCGTATATTGTAATCTTCAATTATTATAACACTATATTTACATCAAACTAATCGATTCAACTCATTTTGTGTAAAAAAAACTACATGTTGATCGTAAGTGTTTGGACATCGAGAGATGTGTCCCATATAAGATCAAGTATCCTTTTCTGTGGAGAAGATATAAGAAATACGTATAATATAATGAATATATGAGTCAGAGTTATTATATCTTTCATTGAGATAGTCAAAGCCAAATTCATAAAAAAAATGTATGTACCGTTAATCTACGTACTAATGAAAGAGAGACATATACTATAGAACTACATAAATTAATGATTATACGATTGGTATTTTTATTCTCAACCACACAACAGAATTTTCTATTTTCAGAGAATTGATAGATGGTTTCAAATTCTTTTTTTTTATCAAGAGAGATTAGTTTATTTTTCATCGAGTTATTTTTGTTTCGTGAGACTTTTCATAAAAATGAAATATTCATCCAAAGATAGGAAGGATGACTCGAAAAAAAACATGTTCTTTTTTGTTTATGTTTCATAATTTCGATTGATAATCGGCCAAATTAGTTCATGTTTGCCTCGTTTCACACGAGAAAATAGAGCAAAATGAGACGAATATTTTCTTGTCTGAGGAACAATAGTTGAAAACCTACTTGAGAAATACTAGAGGTTTTCAAAGTTCTCTCCAGTTGGAATGATTCGAATCACCCTAACTGGTGTAATTCAGATTACTATCTCAAGGTTCTCACCATTTTTATAAAAACTCTAGAGATAAATTTTGTTCGATGTAAGATAGTTGAACAATGGTTGAGATAAATCAATTTTTTTGAATAGTAATCTGCATGATACCAAATGGTTACATTCACTATTATAAAATCATCTCGTGTTATTGTTAATTTTATTT